ACACGTGCTTTGTTTTAAATGATTATACTTTCTCTATTTTGTAGCAGGGAACATTCTTTATCAGCTAGATTTTTCATCTTTATTTTTGAAGGCCTAATTTAAGAATAACCACATGACTGTAAGTGTATGTGTACATGTGGCTATGTGTTGATATATATTTTTTGGTAGATAAACAGAAAAAGGTTAGAAAGAATACTAAATTATGTGTAGGGGTGGAGGGAATAGGGTAGGAGGCAATCACTTTTGCTCTATATTATTTCTGCACTGTTAGTAAACAATTACTTCTTTTGTAATTGTTTAGATCAACAAAATTTTTGAATCAATTTACATATTACAATTATGTAAAGATATTTAAAAATTCAGGTTTAGGCCGGCCCCGTGGCTCAGTAGTCAAGTGCACACGCTCCGCTACTGGCGGCCTGGGTTCGGATCCCGGGCGCGCACCGATGCACCGCTTCTCCGGCCATGCTGAGGCCGCGTCCCACATACAGCAACTAGAAGGATGTGCAGCTATGACATACAACTATCTACTGGGGCTTTGGGGGGGGCGGGGAAGGAGGAGGATGGCAATAGACGTTAGCTCAGAGCCGCTCTTTCTCAGTAAAAAGAGGAGGATTAGCACGGGTGTTAGCTCAGGGCTGATCTTCCTCACACAAAAAAATTCAGGTTTATCATGAGAAGCGTTTTATTACATATAGTACATGAAATTTGTTTTAAAAATTTGTATTTTCTATTATTTGCATGGTTTTAAAATTATAACTGTAATTCAAGTGTGGATACAGAAGAAAAACTTACAATGAAGATGTGCCTTCAAGTGAAAGTTAAATTCAACATACCTGGAAATCGACAGCTCTTTTATTTGCAAGGTCAGCCTTGTTTCCTGATAAAGCTATTACAATGTTAGGACTAGCTTGCCTCTGAAGTTCTTTAACCCAGTTTTTGGCTCTGGCAAAGGATTCCTGGGAAACAAAGAAACAGCTATTTGGCACAGGCTCAAAAAGTGGTTAGGGAGCGTCTTTGTGAGACAAGCCTTTAAAGACTGTCCAATGTGACTCTTGGAAAGAAATTCTTAGGATTATTGTATTATGAGACACTTTCATCCTACATTTTTAAATCTGCTTTTCTAACTCACAAAAGCTTTGGCAGAAATGTCATGCTTGACTATCAAAAAGATTTTAAAAAATCTTTTCTCTAATCGAAAGTCTGAATGCCAAAAACGGATATTCAAACTAGTTTCACTGTAGAATGCATTTCTACTTACCTCATTTGTGATATCATAAACAACTATGGCTGCTTGTGCTCCTCTGTAGTACATTGGTGCTAGGCTATGGTATCGTTCTTGACCAGCTGTATCCCATATTTCAAACTTGACTGTTGTGTCATCAAGACACACAGTTTGGGTTAGAAAAGCAGCTGAAAGAAGAAAATGTCTGCAATAAGTTTATCATTTCCCCCTAATATTTTCATAATATAGAAAACATCTGGAAACCTGATATATTGCACACCCATAGTTAATAGTGGCTTTAAATGTTAAAAGATCTGTGCTTCAAAGCTAGATAAAATATATATGCTTACACATAAGACCTTTATAGTAAAATCACAGATTGAAAGTTTTTTCTACATTCTTAAAGCTTGTTGTAATATTAAATAAGTTTAATACATTTCTTAAATTGTTTTGCCACATGTAACTTAAAAAATTTAAAATAGTAAAACAATTTAAGAAACGTATATATATTGATATTCTTGAAAAATAGGAGGAGAGGGATATCAGCATACCTATAACTACCATCTACATTGCCAACACCACGCCCCCTGCTCCAGTTTTCTGGTTTTTACTGGCATACTCTGGGGATTTAGTCTCAGTCCATTACCACTAAATTAATATTTTTGTTATGATATTATTCCTTCAAAACATTACGACACTTTAATTTTTGTAATCATTATTACCTCAACCTAGGCTTAATTTGTTAAATATAGGTTCAATATTAACTCCTATAGCTCTTTCATTCCCTGCCATAAAAATTTTCTGGATTTAATTTTAACAATAAGAAAGCATCATTTTATAATAATATTTTTGCTTTTAAAATTAAGAGGTTGTCAAATCTTGCAAAGAATTACTGTATCACTTATTTTCTGAATTGCTTCACGAGAGCACTATGAAGTAAAATGTCTCTTATAAATATAATTCTCTTAGCTCTAGGAATAAACATCAGGAAAGACACCACAATGGATACTTAAGAAGAATGAAAAACAAGAAATTGGTTTATAAAAAGCAGGTTATAATCAAGTGAATTGAACTTTAAAATATCAACTATTAGAGTAAGCTTCTAAGCGTAGCTAGCTCAAGATACTTACGAACAAGACCTACACACAGCCATTTTTAGCAGCATGCTGGCCAACAGTAACCAGACCTTACAGTTTCTTTTCTTCATTAACTTTGGTAGTTAAACCCCTGCTGCTCTATTACTCATCATTAATTGGTATGCTCTTCTCTTTTCCTTTCAGCTCAAGGTGTGGTATTCAACTCCTTCTCCCAAATTGGCATGGAATTAAGTTACAAAATATTCTAGAACTCTGTCCTATCATGCAAAAGAATTAGGATCCATTTCTGTAAACTGTAGCAGTTCATCTAGTGATGGCAATATTTCGTAAGAGATTCACTAGTTAATATCAAATGTGCCGAATAAGCCAAGTCTAATTAGATATTATATTTCTTTTATATTAGATATAATATTAATTTTTCATACCATTGTTATTAGGTTAAGTGGTTGCTGGCTTTAATATTAGCAACTATAATCTTCTCAATTTTGCAAACATCATAATTGGAAATGTTTTTATTTTTGAGCTAGATTCTAAGTAATAGTTCTGTGAATTCTCACAGGTGGCTAGTCATATTTAAAATATATTCTATTTCATCAAACTTCTTTTACCATACATAATTAGCAGAAATATCCATTTTCTAAAATCCTGTATGTATGGTAAAAGATACCAAGAAAACACTGTCACTTTTTCACTATAATGAAAGGTTCTCCTTTAGAATCAAAAATTATTTTTAAACAAAATTAAGCCTCTAAGTACTCCTTTTTCAATAAAAAGGAAAAAAGGAAAGGAATGGATCACAATATATAAGTCTTTTCTCAAGCACAGTTTGATGCAACTTGAAAAAAAAGATGGATTATAATTTGCATTCAGACTTTGCTTTCTCTTTTCACGACCACAAAGTACACTGATAGTAAAACCATTCACTTACACTTTCATAGATCATCTATCCTCAGGGAAGTAACTATTAGTTATGCTGCCTTAAAAGAAATATAATCTGATTCTCAAACCAGTTAAAGATATCATAAAAGGCCACCAATCTTTTTTATAAATGCATGTACAAAAATGACAAATACAGGCAAAGAAATTCCAACAAATACATTAAAAGAACAAAAGCCCATGCCAAGAAGAGATTCTTTCAGAAATACAAAGCATTTACACCACAGGCTAAAAAAGAAAAATCAGGTATTATTTAAATAAATTACAAAAGGGCATTTGAGTCAATACCCATTCCTAATATACACATAGGATTCTTCCTTAAAATCTATCAAGTGTCCATTCCATCCTTAAGTCTAAACTCAGCATTTTGCTTATTAATAACAAAGCTCTTAGGCAGTCTCTCTAAGTCTAGAAACCAACCAAGAATATCCACTATGACCATCACTTAATACTGTTTCAGCCATCCTTAAAATAAAAGTAATAAATTATTGGAAAGAGCCATATTTGGAAGCAGAAAGATTGACATGAAAATCCAAAGGCATCAACTAAAATAAAGCAGATAATAATGAGTTCTTTAAATTGACTGGAACAGATCAAAGTCAACAGCATTACACACTGGCAATAACCAGGTTTTCAGTGTTGTGCTGGGGGAAGAATGGATTCCAATCATATCAACAAAGAACAAAAAGAATCAATTCACTCCTCAAGTTCTCTAAGAAATCATCCTCCATTCACACCCTATACCTCATGGTTCCAGAGTTACCTATGCAATAACATGTTTCACACTGTATAATCACTGGTTTATATTATCTTTTTCTTCTCCTAGACTGGGAGTTCCTTGAAAAATCACTATTAGCTATTCTTCTCCACACCCAACATCTAATATAAACCCCAGTGCATAAAAATGTTTGCTAAAACAAGTTCATAAAAGATATGTGGAACTATTTATGGGCTATTTTAGATAATATTTGAATAGACAGTTCCCAAATGGGAAAACATAGGTCTATTTCAAAAGGCCTCTACTCAAGTTATTACATAACTAACACAATCTCAAACAAAATACCATCAAGATCTTTTAACTTTATAACACTGTACCGTTGTTCATGTGGTATGATAAACAGTATAATTTTGGAGGAGGAGAAAAAGGCCAATATTAGAGGCCAGGAGAATGAGTTTGTTTCATCAAAAACACATTAAAACAATTAAAAGTGTTATAGTGCCACAAGGACAGAAATATTATGGGAATAGGATAACCCAGTATTATTATAAACATTATATACCACAAGACCTTCATGATTCCCCAAAGTTTTCAAGTTTTCAAATACTACTACAGCTTTTAACTTCCCCATAAAATTCAGTGAAGTATAGCTGACATCTTCAAATCCTTGGTGCTTCTAAAAATACATTATTAGTCATTTATAAAGTTATAAAAATAAATTCTGGCACTCAAAATAAAAACTACTACATCAATACAACATTAACCAACCACAAACTTACCTGAATCTGCAAAACCACTTTAATTTATCCAAAACGTCTATTTTCTGGCTAAGAACCATCACTTTCTTAGACCTCTTCATTTTCTCTTCACTTCCATCACCAGCACTAGCAGTTGGTTTTCTTTTCGGGCCCATATTTCACAAAGAAACAGCTTTTATCACTTCGAGAGTTACTGTGTACGCGACGACAAGTAGAGAAAAACAAAGCTGCGTTGAGATGCGGGTGCTGGCCTGTCTAATAGGCTCCCTCTTTGAGCTACATGATCAATTCCTATTTGCAAGCCAGGCAGCAAGCAAGTAACATTTCAGTCTCAGCCAGACTACAAATTACTGAATCATAGACCTTGGTGTCAGCTGAGAATAGCTGAAACTGTAAATGTTAAATCTGCACATCCAAAGGCCTACAACGCGTAAGGACTTAACAAATAATAAGCAAGGAGAAGACACTGCAATACACTCAGCAAGGGAAAGAATATCTAAATCAATAGCATTAACCAAAGGTTAACAACTGAGAAAAGAAGTTTAAACTAAAATGATTCTACATGAATTAAACAGAAGGGTGAAAAAGCAAAAAACCAAGGAACCAATACCACCCCAACCTTTAACTTATTTATCAAATTTTTGATAGGAAAGAATTACTTTATTAGAACTGACCAAAAATCCTATATAAGACTATTAGGTTTGGTTACACAAAAATCTGAGACTTCAGGTTTGCAAAACATGTATCATACACCCAAAACACAGGGGTGAACACATTAAAATGTCTACAGTAGATGTTAAAGAGATTAATTTTTATTATGTAGAAAGCTCATATAAATCTTAAGAAAACTACAAAAGCATCAAGGATAAATGTGTAAAGAAAATTCACAAAAGGAATATACATTTAAAAAAAAAAGTCAATATCACTAGTAATCAACAAAATCACCCACACAGCAAAAACAGTTAAGTTTTATCTCCTAACTTAGCAAAATGAAAAAATAAAAAAAGCGAGTGTGGCAAAAACTCACTCACTGCCAGTGATATCTTATAACTGTTTTGGAAATAATTTTGTCAACATGTGGCAAAGCCATGAAAATGCTGATACTTGTTAACCTAATATCTCACAGAATCTCCAAAAGATGGTATGGGGGAGGGGGGACGGCAGGGGCAGCAAAATAGGGAGAACAAATCTTTATGCTCAAAGAATTTTTGTATTTAACAATTAGAAACAACCTAAATGTATAAATGAAAAGGTACTGGTGGCTCGATAAGTTATAATGATCTATTTAATTGCCAAAAAGTAAAAAAGTATATAAATTCAGGGTAGGGAAAATGTACTCTATGTAAAAACATGAAGAGAAAAGCACAGAAGAGAAGGAACTGAAATAGCAGTAGTGTCCCCACAGTGGGATCATGACTGAGTGTTCTCCCTTATGGAAAACCTCCAGAAGTGGTGGATTTGAGGCCCTATTAAAACTGAAAGGTAAAGGATACAGTTGCTAGAGAGGGGAAGGGCCTTGTTCAAGATCTCAGAAATAAGGGGCTTCTAACCATAAAATCCAAGTTAGAGATTGTCTGGAAGTGATATGTGGGGGAAGCAAAAGTTTTTAGAGCCAAGGAATTCAATAAATGAGTTCAGTGAATCTGGATCAAACTTCAACACGAATATCCAATCAGGGTGAAGGACGGCAGGAATTGACCAAGTAGCACCAAGAACCAAGTACCAAAGCTATCAGTGAAGGTAGAAATTTGTTTGCTGGAGAAATGAGTATCAACAGGAGTAATCTAATATAATGGATTTTCTCAGACAGATGAACACTGATTTCAGATGATAAAATTGTACACAGAGAAGAATATATGGATGGTCTAGAGCTGACAACAGGCAAAATAAAAACTGCGGCCATTTTCATTTCTCATTAAAATTGTATGTGTGTATAGGGGGAAGTACCCAGTAGATTATGGCAGCAAAGAAAACCACATATTCAGGGAAGAGTTACATTTCAATTAATGCAAAGAAGAAGAGAACAAAGGGGATAAAAATAGATTAGGGCAGAGAGAAAAGCATACACAGTGACTAAAGCCAAACAGAAATTCATATTACAAAAGCCTAGCAACAAGGTAAAAAAATTTACTATATAAATAACACCTAAAAAGATGGCAATATTCCCAAAAGTAAATCCATCATAAGATGATCTATAAACATCAATCATATAGGACTTATTCTTAAAAAGCTATGAGCATCTCATAAGGGATTGATATCCAGAATATATAAAGAACTCCAACTCAGCCACACCAAAAAACCAAACAACCCAATTAAAAAATGGGCAAAGGACTTGAATAGACAATTCTCCAACGAAGATATACAAATGGCCAAGAAGCACATGAAAAGATGCTCAACATCACTAATCACTAGGAAAATGTAAATCAATACCACAATGAGATACCACTTCACACTGATTAGGATATAGGATAACTATTATGAAAACAACAGAAAATAAGAGTTAGCAAGGATGTGGAGAAATTGGAATCCTTGTGCATTGATGGTGGGAATGTAAAATGGTGCAGCTGCTGTGGAAAATGGTATAGAGACTTTTCAAAAATTTAAACATAGAACTACCATATGATCCAGCAATTCCATTTCTGGTATATACATAAAAGACGTGAAAGCAGGAACTTGAACAGATTATTTGTACCTCAAAGTTCATAGCAGCATTACTCACAATAGCCAAAATATGGAAGAAACCCGAGAGTCTGACGAAGGATGAATGGATAAGCAAAATGTGGTATATACATATGATGGAATACTATTCTGCTTTCAAAAGGAAGGAATGACATGTTACAATATGGATGAACCTTGATGACATGCTAAGTGAAATAAGTTACAAAAGGACAAATATTGCATAATTTCTCTCTTTCTTTTTTTTTTGTGAGGAAGATCAGCCCTGAGCTAACATTCATGCTAATCCTCCTCTTTTTGAGAAAGTAGCCTCAAACTCCCTTCTGAGCTGGGCAGGCATTGACCACTGGGCCCATGTTAGATGAGCTAACATCTATTGCCAATCCTCCTCCTTTTTTTTCCCCAAAGCCCCAGTAGATAGTTGTATGTCATACCTGCACATCCTTCTAGTTGCTGTATGTGGGACGCGGCCTCAGCATGGCCAGAGAAACAGTGCGTCGGTGCGCGCCCAGGATCCGAACCCAGGCCGCCAGTAGCGGAGTGCACGCACTTAACCGCTAAGCCATGGGGCCTGCCCTGCATAATTTCTCTTATGTGAGGTTCCTAGAGTAGTCAAATTCATAGAGGCAGAAAGTAAAATGGTATTTACCATAGGTGGCAGTGGGGAGGAAACGGAGAGTTACTGTTTAATGGGCCGAGTTTCACTGGGAAAAGATGAAAAAGTTTTGAGGATGGAGAGGGGTGATGGCTGCACAACAATGTGAGTGTACTTAATGCCACAGAACTGTATACTTAAAAATGGTTAAAACTGTAAATTTTCTATTATGAATATTTTACCACAACAAAAAACATTCAGCAACATCTGAGGTAACTGTTGCCAAATGAACTGCAATCTTGGAAAATATTAATGATACAGAGGGAAGAGTTTGCATGAAGTCAAGCAAAATGAGGTAAAGAATAAGAATCAGTATTTCTCCAATATTGTCTAGGGGAAAGGTATTTTAAAAAGACTAATTTATGTAATTTTTTCAGAAATAACCCAAGAGTAAGGTAAGTCAATGCGCTTTTTTTACTTTCACAGCTTGATAGTTACTCGTAAAGGACACCCAACTCTCCTTAAGGGAATCCACTAACTAGGATATAAGCTAGTCACGTCACCAGCTGAATATTATCATACTAGTACTTCTGATAGTAACTAATACATTGTTTTAAAACTAGTCTTAGGAGTTTGAGTTTGCTTAGTATTAAGTTAGTACCCCAAACCTGATCACCCTAGAATGAACTGATAAAACCAGTATTTGAACCTCCAAGGCTAAGAGCCTGTGGTTACCCCATCAAGGGAACAACCCTTATAAAGTCTTTACCACTACACTGGATTTATATAACAAAGATGTACCAAATACTGAACTGGAAAGCAGAATGAAGGCACACACTACAGGAAAGGTAAAGAAATGGGAGAGAGTGGAGAGGTTGTTACAGGTTACTAACTAGTATCAAACAAATGCTCCCCAACAAATATCAGAGAAGAAATTAATGAAATTAATTAAATTAATTTAGCTTTAAGTGATATATGTCTATGAAAGACATTTTATCTATGGACAAAAGATACTTTATTAAATAGTTTAAATAGTACTTTATTAAATTCCTATAATGGGCAAGGAAAAGATGCCTTCTGGTTTCTAGTTCTGCATGTAAGGAGCTTAGAAGTCACCACTTCATCCTGACAACAAGTAAAAAGCTGAACAAACTGAAAAATCAACAACTCTTCTTAGATCTGCAAGAGAAGTGAGGTCACAAGGCAATCTGCTGCCCCCCAAATTGGAGAGACAGATGGATACAGAAAATCACATCTCAGAGCAGAAACCTGAGGAAATCAGTGCCAGAGTAGGAAAATCCAAACTGTAACTGACAAATTGCTGGAGGTTAGGTATGGACAAGTCTGAGTTAAACACTCCAGGAGAACCCAGTGATAGGCAGACCACCATGCTTTTGTGAGTTTTACCTCCAGGAACTTGACCAGGTTCTCACAGTAAATATCACAAAAAAATCCCCTTGTGCTTCTGGCAGGGTGAGGGGAAAAGAAACTATTTTGAAATAAGCCAGACCACTCTGTTCTTAACAAGGCCTGCCCTCAGAAGAAACTAGTTAATCTGAGCATAACCTGCTGGGATTAATAGTCTAAATGACCTGGGAGAAGAAATACCCATCTCCAGCCAGCTCTAGCCTTCCATGTGGAAGAAGGAAAATATCTAACTCCAGCCCACTCTAGTCATCCTGCCCCATCTAAGGGGGTTGAAAAAAACTGACAAACACTTATGAAGTTCACTGTCCAGACACACAGGCTCACTAAAAGACAGAATTAATCATAGGACTATAGAATGCTTCCCTTCCCCCGACAACTCTCCATCACATTACTAAAGGCCTAACCGCTTTTATCTACTACATCATATGCAGCTAGCAAGAAAAATTACAAGGCATACTAAAAAGCAAAAACAGTTTAAAGACAGAGAGCAAGCATCAGAATCAGACATGGCAGGGATGTTGGAATTATCAGACAGGGATTTTAAAACAACTAGGATTAATGTGCTAAGGGCCTTAATAGATAAAGAAGACAATGTGCAAAAACAAACAGGCAATGTCAGCAGAGAGATGGAAATCCTAAGAAAGAACCAAAAAGAAATGCCAGAGATCAAAAACACTAACAGAAATGAAGCATGCCTTTGATGGGCTTATTAGAAGACTGGACATGGCTGAGGAAAGAATCTCAAAACTTGAGGATATATCAATAGAAACCTCCAAAACTGAAATACGAAGAGAACAAAGACAAAACAAAACACAGAATATCAACAGACTGTGGGACAACTACAAAAGGTGTAATACATTCAAAATGGGAATATCAGAAGGAGAAGAAAGAAAGGAATAGAAGAAATATTTGAAACAATAATGACTGAGAATTTCCTCAAATTAACATCAGACACCAAACTACGGATCCAGGAAGCTCAGAGAACATCAAGAAAGATAAATGCTGAAATATCTACACCTAAGCATACCATTTTCAAACTAAGAAAAGCAAGGATAGTGCCCAGGCTATTTTGCAAGTAAGTTTCTTTCCCCCTTCTTATTAGTGATATCCCTTTTTCTCCTTTTGGTTCAAGAACTCAGCACTTGGGCCGGCCCCGTGGCTTAGTGGCTTAGCGGTTAAGTGCTCGCACTCTGATGCTGGCGGCCAGGGTTTGGATCCCGGGTGTGCACTGACGCACCACTTCTCCGGCCGTGCTGAGGCTGCGTCCTACATACAGCAACTAGAAGGATGTGCAACTATGACATACAACTATCTACTGGGGCTTTGGGGGGAAAATAAATAAATAAATAAAATTATGAAAAAAAAAAAAATAAGAACTCAGCACTTAATGCTTCCCAGACCTCAAGGGCATCTCCTAGACCTTTAAAACTTTACTGGCCTTGAAAAGTGACTCTTTAATACTTAGCAATAAGTTTATCCACTCAGTGAGCTTAAAAGTTCTGTATCTGATAATTTTACAACACAGGAATGGAAAAGGGCAAGTTAAAGAAGAAAGAAGCCACAGGGAAGACTCTAACCCCCAGAGTATCAGGTACAGGAAACCTGTAATCCCAGAACATATTTATCTATGCCAAGCAATGCCCAAAGATATTAGGAGTATCTCTAAAGGAGGAAAAAAGTGATGAAAAGACTGGAATCCTTTTGACCCCACAATCATTAGATAAAATTACTTTTGGTTTAGTAACCACATCTAGAAACTGATCTTACAGAAATAAGTCCAGAGGGAAAAAAGTTCCAAGAAAATATCCACTATTAGAAGATAACCTAAAACAGCAAACAAAAATGCATACATTAAATGTCCAACAATAAGGGTATGGTTAAAAAATGAGATTACCAATTAGCAAAATAAATATGAATACAATACAGAGGTATTGAGAATTATTATCATTAATAAATGAAACAGAATACAATAGTATGACTATTATAAATGAATCTATATAAAAAATTATGAAGTTATAAATAGTTTGCAGAGAAAGGAAACACAATGGGCTCTAAAAATATGAAAAGATGCTTGACTTTGCACATAATATGGGAAAAAATGACATAAAAAATGCAAGGATCAATGCATAAGACTATGGCAAAGATCGACAAGTATAATACCTTGAGTGTAGGGTAACAGGCCTTCTGTGCATTGCTGGTTGGAGGGAAGTTTGGAAAAATTTATCAGATTTACAAAAGTATATACCTTTTGACATAGCAATCAACTTAAGGAATTTACACTATGGAAATACTTAACATATGTGAGAAATGACTATGAATTAAATTATTCACTGCAGCACTGTTAACAGCCAAAAATATAAAACAAGGTGCAAATCCAAAACTAGATTATACATTGGTATGTTCCATGCATGGAATACTGATGCGACCAATAAAAATGAGGATGCTCTTCATAACACGATATGGATAAAACTTTGGCAGATTATATTTTCCAAAATGGCTGCAACAAGATTTCCCACACCACATTCTTCCTGCAACATGACATTGCCACTCCTCCCTCAAATCTGTGTGAGCCTCTGACTAGAACGTAATTGATGCTATTTATGTGACTTCTGGGGCAAGGTCATCAAAGGCCACCCAGCCTCCACCTGGTACTTTTGGGACACTCATCCTTGAACCCAGCCATCATGCTGTGAGGAAACCTAAGCCAGGTGGCAAGGCCACATGAGGGGGTCCTGGCTGACAGCTCCAGCTGAGCTCCCAACCAAGAGCCAGCATCAGCTGCCAGATATATTGAGATGATTCTAGCACACACACCCATGAGAGATTAGAAAACCATCTACTAAGCCTACTCAACTCCCAGAATCATGAGAGATAATAAAATGATTGTTTTAAATCACTAAGTTTTGGGGTCATTTGTTTCTGAGCAACAGAGAACTGGAACAGTATTAAAGTAAAAAATATAAGGTATATTACAGTAGGTCTGATATGTTTCAAACTGCATAAAAACGGGGAGAGAACATATAGATTTGAACGTAATAGTAACTTTGCAAGCACATACAATAAAGTAACACTGTCTCTGGGGAAAAGAACTGAGTGGGGTAGAAGACGGGAGGGGAGGCAGACTTTTCAAAGTAAATCTTTTAAATTTGAATTTTGACTCACAAGAACAAATTAATAAAATAAAAATTTTAAAATGTATGCATGTGGATGGCATAAAACCGAACACAGTGGTGGTAATTTTTGAATATGGGTGATTTGAATTTTTATTTCAAAATACTTTCACATTACTTTCCTTGTTAAGTAATCTATACAGGGGTCCATTATCTGTCAAGTACCACACATTTTATAAAAGAATGCTACGTCATGCATATGTGAACTCTAACTTTGAACCAGATTTTTTAGTCTGATAATTTCTTTAGCAATTTGGGAAAAAAGAAGGCAAAAAATTTACAGATACACACATTCACACACACAAAATCAATTCCAGAATACAAGTGGCATTAAAGAAAGATCTGTCTTTAATCCCAGCCGCCACTGAGCTGTGAAACCTCAGGGAAATCACTTTTCTTGCCGTAGTTTCCTCATCTATAAAATCAGTATTTCCTCATATATAGCCACGGTAAGGTCCAGATGAGACTTGTGAAAATGCCTTCTAAGTTCTAAGATTGTATCACATAACATGTAACCATTTAAAAATTATCTTACAAATTATCTTAAAATTACCCTGTATTTCCTAGAAGTCACATTTTTCTAAAATTTACAAAGTATTTACGAATGCAATAGATGAAAAATTAGGATTCTTTACAAGCCTTTTAATATTAAAGTAACTTACGTGTCCAAGATACAGTCATGTTGCACCTCAAACAGAACTGATAACAACTAAGTGGAACACCCTCCAGCTTTAGTTTTATGCAAAGATGAACTATTTTTTGACTGAGAAATGCTGAAGGTGTCCAATAATTACATTGTGACTAGAGTCCCATATCATCAGATTACTCTCTTCTTTTTGAGTCCAAAGGGCACCTGCTATCTTCAACTGTGGAAACAGAAGCTAAAAAACCATGAATGACTGGTTCCTCATCTTGCTTCTACCTTTCTTTACCTGTATTACCTTGAAAAGAGGATGAATGCTATTCATCAACACTTACTTCAAATATTGTTTTGCAACACTTGTAAAACACTAAGGATTATTTATTATTTTCAAAATTCAATACGTAACTTCAGTAATACTCATTTCCATCTTGAGGAATTTAGTACTTTGGTAGCTAGAGATCATGTTTACATCAACACAGACAATGATCAAAACTCAAAAACCTCTGGAATTACTCCTGTTGCTTTTCTCACTCTTACACATTCCTATTCTCTTCCACCAAGAGGCCTGCTAACAAAAGGCTCTCTCAATGATGACTCTAAAAGATGTTATCCTATGATAAATTAATTCATATGCATCATAAGCAAGATCACGTATAAGAAGTATCAAATTACTACAGTGTAAGACCTAAAAGGGGAAAGGAAACGTTTTTCAAAAACAAAGTTTCTTATATATACATATTTTTGTTTTTGATGAGGAAGATTATCCCTGAGCTAACATCTGTTGCCAATCCTCCTCTTTTTGCTGAGGAAAACTGGTCCTGGGCTAACATCTGTGCCCATCTTCCTCCACTTAATACGTGGGATGCCTGCCACAGCATGGCTTGATAAGGAGTGCGTAGGTCCGCACCCAGGACCCAAACCTGCGCACCCTGGGCCGCCGAAGCAGAGCGCACAAACTTAACCACTACGCCACCAGGCCAGCCCCGTTTCTTACATTTTTATCAAGTCAAAAGTCTTACTCTATTAAAAGCAAATTTTAAAAAAGCTCCCCACCCCACTACCCTCCCCAAATACCCTTAAAAACCAAGTGTCTTTTATATACCTCTGTGTCTATGAAAAGGTCAATTATCAGGAAACCTTAAATATTCAGAACAGAGCAAAGAACAGGAAGGTAGCAATATAGACTGAAAGCAGCCAAAACAGATGTCATAAAGTCCATGCACCAAAGCTTATACGAACTTACAGATTTCTTCAGTATGTAACCGAGAATATACTTTTTACGTATATCTTTTTTGGGATATATATAACAAATGAAAACAGGAAGATGAGTTGAAAATTTAGGCTTAATTTAAAAAGTGGTATAATACCACTTTTCATACCTTATGTGTACTCAATCTGTCTTCCATCCTAAACCATGAGATCATCTTTGGTTTCTAGTACTTAGCACAGTGTTAGGAGCTTGGTAAATTTGTTGAGTAAATGAATTTTAGAGAAGCTTGATAATCTTATTTCCCAGTATGGAACAGAATAAAAGCAGCACATCAGTGAATCAATAGAGGCAGTTCACTATAGTTAGAGCTAATTGGCAAAATCATACTACTAGGGCCTGGCCCGGTGGCGAAAGTGGTTGAGTGCTTGAGCTCCGATGCGGTGGCCCAGGGTTCTCCGGTTCGGATCCTGGGCGTGCACCGACGCACTGCTTGGCAAGCCATGCTGTGGCAGCGTCCCATATAAAGTGGAGGAAGATGGGCATGGATGTTAGCCCAGGGCCAGTCTTCCTCAGCAAAAAAAGAGGAGGATTGGCAGATGTTAGCACAGGGCTGATCTCCTCGCCAAAAAAAAAAAAAAAATCATACTATTAAACAGCTCGAAACACTTCAGCAGCACCAGAGAGCATCTGAATAACATGGAACAAAAACTGATGTTCATGATCCCAAATTGTGAAATAAATTTTAAGAGGGAAAAAAAGTTAAATTGTATTGATTGCATTGTTGAATGTGGAGGAGAGTACACACTTTAAAAGAAAGTCTGCTCGAGAAGAATCCTTATTTAGTTCAAGCCTCTCATTTTACAAATGCGTAAACAGGGCTCTCACAAGTGTTTATAAAGGGTGCCAGGATGAGAACTGAGGTTACTGACTCCTAATTCACAGCAATGCTTACGGAGCCATTTTAAACTAGCACATTGGAGAATAACTGATGCGAAGACTATCAGATAATTGGTAGAAACTGGTAGAAACTGACATAAAATATCAAATCTCTACCAACTTCTCTGAGTAATATAACCTATCTCAACTACTGAATATCTACTTTCTAGAATAATACTATGCATAAAGATAATACTCTTTCACTTGAAACCAAATGATTAACTTCCACAAATCTTAATTCCCACTCTATCAGAAAGAACAATGAATATTTCAAAAACCATTTTTCTCATGAATCAAAAACCATATGCTGGTGGTTTGTCTCTAGGTCTTCTGTCCTTTCTCAAAAGTATTTTTAATT